TCCTTTATTTTCATACATTCAAAGTCTTGATTCGCTATACCAAATAATTGTCAAGTCATATCTTATTTGGACCGTTAGATACATGCCACGTAACAATTGAGGCATCGTTTTATTGCCTCAAAATGAGTCCAAAGTAGAGTTGATAGGCAAGTGGAGTTAATAAATAATGTTGCAAAGGAATTGAATTAGAATAAGAGAGAATCAATTAAAAATAGCAAATCTTACAAATCCAATTTCTTGAGTCCAAAATAAATTATTTACATCTAGATGTTTTTTCATTAATATTAGAGCTAGGTAGGGAAGAATAGAGAGGAATGATTAATTAATTAAAGGTAGGTAACGTTTACTAATTGATGTTGTCTCATATCATAGTCAAATATAAAAAGTCTATCATTTCTCTCTCCTCAATTGAGTATCAAAGTTTATATGACCTTAGTTTTGATACTTTTATTTCACAGGTTCGAAGAGAAGTCAAAGGAGATTATTTTAAAGTAAGTGCCATCTAATTTATTCAAAGAATTATATATATGGCGTTTCTTTTTTACAAATAGCACCTTTGTTTTTTTTTTAAGTTCTCTACTCCGATTGAAAGAATTCACCAACTTTACTTTTGATCATCATTTGTAATTCATATACATACATTTATAAGATAAAATTAATTCATTTGAGATCGTTTGAATTTGTATAATTATATGTTTTTAACAATTGATATATAAAAACTATACCTGATTATATGTAGATCTACATGTAACCGGGTACAAGAAGTATGTATAATGCTTTCAAAAATTATATGATTTTATAATTATGTGTATGTTTTTATGTTTTTATTCCTTTTTTATGTTCTCTTTGCGCTATAATTTACAATCAATGTCCTTCTATAACAACATTTGTGCTTTATTTTAATGTTTTGTGCTACTGTTAAAGAAAAATTAAAACCAATCTGATTGCATTTTTAACAATACAAATTAAAGGGTAAACAACTTATAGATAAGTGTTGTACAAAGCAATCATAAAAAACATGATTTTCTTTTAAATAAAAAAAATAATAAAAAAAATCAGTTTATCTAATGAATTCTATTAGCTTGTCAATGTAAAAACAGTAATCATCTCTCTGAAAGAAAGAAAAAAAAAAAAGCTTGGTTGATAGATAAACTAAAAAGAGTTGGTGAAATCTAACTTTTGAGGGTGGTTAAATATAATAAACGATAAAATGGATGATTAAATAAAAATAGGACGTTTTAAAGGATGGTAAAATACAATTATTTAATCTAATAATTAATTAGTGTTCTAAAAATTTAGAATATGAACTATTTAAGGATTACAATTTACAAATGTATATTTGCGGATCGTATGTAATAATGTATCAAAAAATTTGCATACATTTTTTATGATGGACTTCAATTTATGTAGAAGTGTTTAAGCTGCTGTGAATTGTGAATTTTTGTTTATCGTATTGGATCATCTTGATAGGTATATCATGGTTAATATCAAGTCGGATTTTGCCTTGATTTAGGTTAATTCGGAGATATATACTCAAGTTTGGTTTAGTGCTACGTATTTGACCCATTTTTTTTTTCTACATTGATTTTGTTCCTAAAATGATTTGGTCCTATGTATTTTATCATACTGTACGTCTATCTTATCATATTTTGATTTTTTAAAAAAATATACCACATACTATCTTGCTTAATTTTGATTCATTTTTAACAATATATGTTAGAATTTTTATATAGTTTTTCAGTCTCCACAGTTTTCATATACATACATTTTTGTTCCAATTCATTTGCATTAATAAAAGTAGCACAAATCGATATGGTCACGTGTGGTTGGTAATGACTTACCTTGAATAATGTATTACACACGTTTGCAGTATTTATTTGTTGCGATTCGATTTTAAGTTTACAAAATCTTTATCTAATACTTATTAGATTTGTGGCGGTGTAGACTTCTTGAGTCTATCAACTCATGTAATTTCTTTGTTTTTTTTTTTTTGTACGTTTGTTGAAATAACAACAGAGCATCATGATGGTTAACAAAATTACTCGCAAATCCGAAAGACTTGCAAAAAGATCTCCAGTAAAAAATGATGGAAATGTCAATGACTTATTCCCTCAAGGTCTGGTCCCAAGGAGAAAGAGGTCCAAAAGGAACATGGTTAGTAATACAAAATTGATTTCCAAGTACGTAGCAAAAGATGAGGAACCAAGTGAAGTTGAGATTGTGGAAGTTGAAACTGAGCAATCAAATCCTCATCCCTGGGAAACTCAAATCATGATTCCGGGTCCAATTCCGGACTTAGAGGGTATAACATCGGATGATACTCTCTTTGAAAATCTCCTTGAAGACATGCCTTAGCTTCTTCATCTTAGTGCTTTGCATTGGAATAATTGTCATATGAACCTTTTGTGATTTGTCGTTATTCCGTTTTATGATGCTTTTAACATATTTTGATTATGTCCATTATCCTTATGTTGGGCCTGTCCGATCCAAACCCTCATGATTATAAAATGCAAATCTTTTTACTTGGTCAAACCTTATTTTGCTTTACACACCTCAAACATTGGTTGAAAAATCACTTATATTCTACATGTAAGTTGTCTTACATTAAAGACAATATCAAAAGAAAAAAACAATCAGTCAATCACCTTATGAACAATTGAAGTTACTCCCAGTATGGCCAATGTTAGACTCTCAGAGACTGTAATAGGCTTGTAACCATGTATTCCAAGTCATTTTTTTTTTGACAAAGAGTACTAATAAAGAAAAACAAAAAACAAAGACAACCAATAAACACTACGCAAAAACACCTGTGAGCAAACTTTATTCGAGTCAAGTTGGAGTACTTGAAGTCCACACTAGGCTCACGAACACGCTTTGTACCCATACAAACCACCTGATAATCTGTAGTTGATCTAGGTCAATCCTCCACACATCTCATTTTCCTAAACCGAGGATGAACAATGGACCAGTGACGGCGAAACGATTGACCTGAAGGCTTGGCACTGGAATCCAAAGTGGCGAACTGAAAACTGGAAACACAGACTTTTCCCTCAAACTCTTGTAAATTTATCCCTTTTATAGAACTATCAATCTCAGAAAGGGCGGTCATGCACTCTAAATTGTTTTGCACCACTGGAGCACCTAATAACTGCTGCAAAATGGGAATTGGCTAAGACTCTGTTATGGGCACCGTCTGCCGATCCTCATCATAAGATACCTGTAGTGAAGTATAGGTAGAGGACATTGCTACACCAGACTTCACATCATTAGAGACAATAACTTTCTCCGATAACGATTGCAAAATCGGAGCATACGTGGACTGCAAAGTAGAAGCTAACAAGAACTCTGAAGTAGGCATTGCTTGTTGCTCCAATCCACTTAAAAAATTAACTGAAGTAGAATTAGAGGTCTTTACTTCCCTAGAAGTTAAATCTTGGGGCACCTCTGTCTGGATGAAGTTTTACTCGAACAAATTCTAATAGACATTAACGACATGGACTTAAAATGGTAGATATGAATGACATTACCTTGCTTAACCTGTTGCAAATGTGAGGAAGAAATCCGAAGGGAGGAATTCAAACCATCTCAAGAAACAAACTCATGCATACGGGGAAAAGGTGGCAAAGACTTACAACTCCTGTCATTACCAGCTGAATCTGATTTAAAATCACATTCCATATCATCACTTTCTGAAATGCTGTCATGACCAACTAAACCTGATTGGAAACCACATTCCATATCAACACTCTTTGGAATCTTGTCACTACCAACTGAATCTGATTGGGAAACACAATCCATATCATCATTATCTAAAACCCTATAATTCCAAGTCAATTTGATATTTAGATTTCCACATGACTTTTTTCTCTATACAAACTATTGAGCACATGGCTAAAATTTGCCCGGGTTATCTATTAATTAGTTTTTACATGTGATGATGTGAGTGAAGCTTAACTTATATTATTCTTTGTTTTTTATTTTTTCTTTTTCACAAACTATTGGGTGCGGACGTCCGCACCCAACAATTCGTGGGGCAGACCATTTCTTCTTCAATAAAAATCCCCCTTTTCTTCTTTTACTGGACTTTCTCACTCCCCTGTTTTGCTACTCTTCCACGAGATCGCATACAAATGGTTCGGAATTGATGATGTTTTAATTGCTCGAATAGCGACATCAGTTACTCATATTCTTCTATCTCCTCGTGGTCGAATTGAGATCTCATACGCATAAGTTGCTCAAATTGCTGGTAAATTGCGGTGGCTGGCCTGGGTTAATTGGGATGGGTAGGTTAATTGTGGTAGATGGGTAATTGCGGTGGCGGTTATTTATGGTGGCTGGGTATTTGTGGTGGCTGGGATAATTGCTGTGGTTGGGTATTTGCATTCGGTGGTCGGGTTAATTGCGGTCTTGCGGTGCGTGGCTGGGTAATTGTGGCTATTTTGCAGTGGAGGTTGTGACGATGTGGGTTGATTTGTTGGTGTTTATGTGGTTGTTGTTGTTGTAGGTTGTTGTTATTGTTGGGTTGGTAAATTGGGTCGAGAATGTACGGTTATTGTTGTTGCAAGTTGTTATTGTTGTGTTGGTGAATTGGGTCGGGAAGGTGGCGCAGGTGGTGGTGGTGGAGAGTGAGGGAGTGCGCAAGTTTGATTTTGAGATTTTTGGTTGTTAAGTGATATATTTAGTTGTTGGCTTATTCATTTGAAAGAGATAAAAAGAAAGAGAGGAAGAGGGGGTGAAAGAAGAGAGAGAATGAAATAAAATATACGTATAAATTATATTAGCTAGTAAAGGATGTACATCAGCCATTAAAATGAACATATCAGTTAATTGATCTCTAATATCAGTCAACATTAGGGATACAACCAAGAGACGAAACATATCAGCCAACAAATGGATGAAATCAGCAAACAAAAGCAACAGGTTAGCCAACAAATTAAACATATAAGCCAACAAAATGAAACATATAAGCCAACAATTAAAATATACATATTAGCCAACAAAATAAATATATCATCCAACTACAAAAACATATAAGCCAAATTATGTTTGATATCAGCCAACAAAAGGTACATATTAGCCAACACAAAAAATCATATCAGACAATAAATAATGAAACATATCAGCCAACACATGAAACATATAAGCTAACAAGTAAAATATATTAGCCAAGCCCCCCACACCAAACAATTTGTGCGTCCATATGCACACAATACCTTCTCTCTCTTTTTTTGTTATTGTTTCGTTTAACACTAGGTAAAATTGACTTGCGATAGATTCTAGTTTGATAAAACACTTTTTCCTTATCTAAAAAAATAAAAGTATATAGGAAAGAAATCCGGTTAAATGTAATTTTTATAACATCAGTATCAATCTTGACAATTTCCTTTAATTGATCAAATCAAATTTTTTTTTTTTTGTTTATTTTTTTTTATTGCAATTAACTTAGTCTAACTATCTAGCTGTATTTTTTCATTACTAATTATTTTCAAGAACTTCATTTGCGTTATATATGGAGGACGGCCTGACCAATACCAGATCTTTGTAAAGATCGTTCAAACTTTGAATAACTGAAACTTTCATCCAATCATTAAGAAGTTATATCTTGTAAATAAGTTTTTCTCTTTTTTAAAATTTTAAATTAATATTAAATAACTTTGTTTATGCATGATCATTTAGATGAATTGTGGTGACTAATTTCCTAAAATACATTCATTTTTCATCTCTGTTGAACATTAATCCGACGACGGAAATCCACGTAAGCCGTGACAGTAGCTCATATCACATTGAATTACCATATAAATAAAAAAAACCCTTCAATTGAAAAGTTCCACCAAATTTCACGTACTAGATCTATTCATAGAGCATTAATTTTCATAGTTTAAGGCAACACTACTAAAACCAAGAGAAAAAAATTCGGAAACAAAACACTATCCATCTATTGTTAATCCAATAACCTACCTTTTTACATACTTCAAACATGGAGATTTTCAAATTTGTCCTATACATTTCTCTCTTTGTTTCTCTATCGTCTGCTACTAGTGTTGTTGATTTTTGTGTTGCAGACTTTAATTTTCCAGGTACGCCAGTCGGTTTCCCTTGTAGGAATCCGATAAACTTAACAGCAGATGACTTTGTTTTCTCTGGTTTGGGTGTTGCGGGCAACACATCAAACATCTTTGGTGTAGCTGTGACATTTGCAATCGATTTGACTTTTCCCGCTTTAAATGGGTTAGGCCTTTCCATGTCGCGGCTAGACATTGGTGTGGGTGGTGTTGTCCCGATCCACTCACACAGGGTATCAGAACTTATCCTTGTGATTGAAGGAGAGATACTTGCGGGTTTTATAGATTCAAACGATCAAGTATATTATAAAACATTAACCAAGGGAGATATTATGATCTTCCCTCAATCATTACTTCACTTTCAAATTAATGTTGGTAAAACTCCCGCTCTTGCCTTTGTTAGCCTGAACAGTGCAAGCCCTAATTTTCAAACTACTACCACTTCTCTATTTGCCAATGACTTACCTACAGACGTGATTGAGAAGATTACTTTACTTGATGCTACACAAGCAAAGAAGTTGAAGAGCATCTTTGGCGGCACTAATTGAATGTTCTCTATTGATGTGTTGTGTACATAAATATGTTCCCGTATAAGTTATATATATTGTCAATCATGTAAAAATGTACGTGGAATTATGTGTATTCATTGTTGTATTATTGCCTTATTGGCCATATTGGGCGTCGGTTTAATGATTCCATGTTTAGCATTCAACAAACTATGATCTATAATACTGTTTTTTCTTTTCCCATTTTGATCAACCGACACTTTGGAATAGGGTGCGCGGTAGTTTTTATTCCTTGTTTATTCTACCTTAATTGGAACAGTACATTTATTTGCGTTTACAGGTAAAAGTATATATGTTGTATACTCCACTAATTTTTTTCCTTGTTGTATACTAGCATTTATAGAGTAGATTTGAAAGTGATATATACTAGCATATAAAGTTATGAGTTAAAAGAATTGGTTTATACTTTATATGTTGTTGTTGTTGTTAGGGAAGCTACATTTAACTTTAATATTCCCCCCATTCCTTTATTAAAAGCCTATTTCTAATATTTATTACTCACATAATAATAAGAAATAAGCTTCTAATAATATTAAGAAAATCAAGATTATTATGCAATTTAAATGATTCTTAATTAATTTATTAATATAAAGTAATACTGCATCTATAATTTCAATTTTAAAAGTGATGTATACAAATTTTTACCTTGTTTCTACCCTTATTTGGAATACTACATTTATTTGCATGTACAAGTAAAAATAAACATGTTGTATACTCCATCTATTAGAGTCGGTTTGGTTATATTTGTTAATTATTAATATTGTATTTATGTTAAGTTTATCTTGTTAGGAGTTTTAAGCAAATTATGTTTCCGATTTGTATTGTGTATAAATATATGTGAGTAATAACAATACAAAGGTCAAGCCGTTTTCTCCATATTTCCTTGAGTTTAACATGATAACAGGCCTCTCTAATTAGTAGAGATTTTTTCTTCAATCTTGGTTAGTTCTTGATTTAATTCTGCATTTAATTGTTTGTTACACCATCTTAAAACACTTCTATTTTATTAATTTCAATTATTCTTTTCCCTCTTTTCCCTCTTTCCTCTTTCCGTCTTTCCTCTCTCGTCTCATTGTTAACCCTTATCTTCATCTGTTCATGAGCTAATCACTTCATCACTATTTGTTGCTGCTTGAATTCAAGGCTCAAAAATCATTATTAGTGAAAAAAAAATTGGCTTTAGATAGGTAAGTTTGACAACATTGTCTATTTTATTGGCAGGTTAGATTTTAAAATATGAATTTAATATCATGATTCACATCCCAAAAAAAAAATAAAAATAAAAATAAAAATAAAAAAAGAAGAAGAAGAGGAATAAATAATTATAGGTGAAAAAGTTTAGTATAATTTCATATTTTTACAAAATTTCTAGAATTGGTCAATTCTACGATTTTATTCTACTCTAAGTACTTTCGATCCAAAATAGAATCCGGACTCTAAAGACATTAATTGTTATGCATGTCTATGCACGGAATTAGTCAAGTCTAAACTAGGCATTATATTACAAAAGTACTTAGATAAATACAACTTCTCTAATCTGTAGCATACGTTAACATGTTTAGCTTCATGCACTTGGTCCCTCTTCCCTTGCAGGCTTGCAACTTTAAGGATAGCCCTCCTCGCTCGCTCTTAGAGCAAATCCATGCTTTCGTTATACGCAATAGTCAAACAACCTACCTTCTTTTCTCTCTCTCTCTCTCTCTTTTTTTTTTTGGTAGTAGCAATACTAGTAGTAGTACGGAGTATTAGTTAGGGGAGCTAGGAGTTCAGCACTTCAGCATAATTAAAGACATAGGTTCCATACATAATATATTAATAATACCCACATCCGGGCTTTAAATACTAGAGCTATCGGGGAAGGGGTTAGCAGCTGCAGCTTCCACAACACCTCATGCGCAAATTTTAAAATGCACCATGGTGAACTTAGAAATGGGTGCACCACGCCTATGCTTTTGAACATTTAGTAAAAAAAATATGAACAATTACAAATTTTGAACATGTAGTAAAAACATCTGAACATCAACAAATTTTGAACATTTAGTTAAAAAATCTGAACAATCGCAATGCATCACGCCTATACTTTTGAACAATTAGTAAAAAAAATCTAAACTGTCGCGATTTTTGAACATTTTATAAAAAAAAGGAAATTTTTTAAATTACCACCCAAAAATAGAGTCATTTTGTAAATAACCACCCGTTAAAAATTTTATTTTAAAATACCACCCATTAAATTAATTAATTACGCAGATTACCACCTTTTTGAAAATTCCGATTGAATTATGATGTGTGGGGCCCACAGTCGTTACTTCCCTCCTATATTTTTTTCTTTTTTTTTTTCGATTTCTCTATTCTAAGCTATTGAGTGTACTCTCTCCCCAATCTCTCATTCAATTCTCTCTGCAAAATCCACCTATCTCCATAAATTCTCACCCACTCTTCAAATTAGAATCCTAAATTGCAGATTAAAACCCTAAAATAGTTAGTTTTAGTTTAGCAAAGAAGTTACTGCTGTGTAATTGGGGTTTTGCTTGGAAGTTGACTGCGAAAGTCGGCATTTTTAGGGCGTTTTCTGGAGACCACTTGCTGAGTTCATTCACCTGACAATTGCTGAGTGCAATGGCGACGTCTGAGGTAAGCAATTTTGGTCCTTGCCTTTAATTTTGTTAGGTTTTGGTTGGTGATGGTAGAATTGCAATTTTGTTGAAATTTAGGGTTCAATTTGTACTGTAATGAATTATTTAATAGAGGTCAATTATGCTTTAAATTTTGGTGAATTGTTTAAGTATGGATGTGTGTAGGACAGTAAATTAGGGGATTTGTTAATTGTTGCTATGTATATTGGGTTTATTAAAGAAATCAAATATTGTGTAAATTTTAAATTTTGCTGTTACATGTACAGATTGCTGCTTCTGTTGAATTAGTTGATGAAAAGGTTAGATTAGGTGGTGTTTTTGTGGACAAAAAAATAAGAGGGAAGACATTGTGTGGCTATGAGGGTGGCTGAGAATATTGGAGGTATAAGTGCAAAGTGAGTGATATGTCAGTGGAGTTTGTAAGGGAATCTTGCATTTGGGGGTTTGTGAAGCTAGATTTAAAAGTGCCTAACATGTGGAATATTTGGTACAAACAAAAGGGAAGACTTGGTCAAATGGCAAAAGGAGATTCTGAGTGAAGATGATGTAAAGGGCTTTTTGGATACAAAGACTAAGAATGAGTTTGATGTAGTTTATTGTACTAGATAGGGCTGTACACCGGTCCAAAACCGGACCGGACCTGGACCGGACCCGTTAGGACCGGGACCTGAATCAGCCAATTTTGAGGACCGGGGACCGGACCTGATTCAGCAGGTCCGGGTCAGGTCCAGACCTGTTGTCCAGACCTGAACAGACCTATTTTGTGTGTGTGTGTGTGTTTTTTTTTACAGAAAATAAATAACTTATTGGACCTGTTTATAGACCTGTTTATGGACTTGTTTACATAAAATCTAAAAATATCAATAACAAAAACTACATAAAATCTATAAGTCTCAAATATAACAAATAATTCATTAAATTACATAAAGTCTCTAAGTCTCAAATACTAGAAATACATAAATTATCCAAAGACAACTTGAATTTTGGTGAATTGCTTTCCCTTTGATTGCGTGATTCGCACCAATGAGTCCACGAAAACAACTTCATCGTCTCCATCGTTAGATACATCATGTTGCACCTCTAAATAAAAAAACAATATAGAATATATTAATGAATGATAACAATGAAATAATAAATTTGGTGTAACAAAATTACAAGTACATAAAATTAATACTACCTTTCTCCATTTCTTCTAACTCTTTCAAATTTTCTTCCACATCAACAATTGACTCTCTCTTAGCTCTAAGCCAATCTTGTGTACAAAGTAGCGCTTGAACCATCTTCAATACAAAAGTATTACTTAAATATGTATAAACAAAGTCATATTTAGATATAATTAACTTGATTTCATAAAATTAAAAAGATAAAGACGCATTACCTTAGGAGTTGAGAAAAAGCAGCAGATCTTTTGGATTGAGAGCTCTCCATCTTCAATATAATTATACACAATATAAGTAATTTTTAAGTAACAATTATAAACACATAACATTTTATAAAAAAAGTGAGAACAACTTATATTGCAAAGATGATTATTTGGCCTCAGGACAGTTATGCAAAATCAGATATGGGAAAGGAATTGGGGAAATAGGGAATTGAAAAGATGATGAAGAAAGGAAATTGGTTCTATTTGTGGAGTGTTGATAGGGTTGAGAATTTGCGTGGCTGGCTGTGATGGAGTTCGTGGTCGAGATATAGGCCGGAAAGTTGCTCTTTGTTGTGGCGTGAAATTGAAAAAGGAATTGAACTCTACCAAGATCTGGGATAAGGAGCGAGAGAGGAAATCTTTGAGAAGGAATTCATGGGGAGGCGGTTGAACGTTCCAGAAACGGTTGAGACAGAGGAAACGGTGCTAGTTAGGGTTATATTGTTAGCTTTTTTTATTTATTAATTTTAATAATATTAAGATCAAATAGAACAATTAACTAAAAAAGGCGTTCTCTATGTAAGATCTGGGATAACATTTTATAACCTGACCTGGACCTGTTGGGACCGGACCTAACCCGGACCTGTAGATTCAGGTCCGGTCCCGCTCCTTGAAAATCAAGGTTTCCGGTTCCGGTCCGGATCAGGTCCAAACCCGGGGTTTTCAGGTCTGGACTTGAAACCCGTTAAAAATGCTTTTTTATAAAAAAAAAAAAAATTCCCAAATTTCAAAAGAAGTCAGTTTCATTTTTGTAAACACACTAACCTTAACTCACTCCTCACTCACTCTCTCTCTCTTAGCCAACACCACATAAACACGGCAACACCCACTCCCTCCAGACCACCGCCCAGGCGCCCAAACACCAGTCGGCAGTCGCCACCGCCCACCAGACGTCCAGACCAGCAGCGACTACACGCTGTACATCCTGCAACGACTACACCCTGCATCTGCATCTACACGCTGTAGGTTCTTTTTTTTTTTTAAATTAAATCTAATTATATTTGAATTGGGTATTTTGTAATTCAATTGCTTATAATGATTGTTTGATGTTTGCATGTTTGTAAGTTCTGTTTTTTAGTTTATTTTTTTCGAATTCATGATTTTTTTTGAGGTTTTTTATTTATTTTAAGTAACTGTTTTTGAATTATTTTAGTTCATTTGTTTTGAATGCATGTTGAATTTTGGTTTCTTTCGATTTGTGTGTTTAAAATCTGTTTATTCTGTGAATTTGCTGGGAGTAGATTGATAAATCAGAAAAGATTGATAAATCTATTTAAAAGATTGATAAATCAGAAAAGATTGATAAATTTGTTTAAAGTAGATTGATAAATCTGTTTAAAATTTGTTTCTTTCGAATTTAG